TGGTAAATTAGTGCGCAAATGGTATCGCCATGGCCAGCCACATCCGCTGAGCCACCCCACGCGGCCTGCAACCGTGCAGAAGGCCTCGGTCCCGATTCTCGCCTTGCCCACCAGCAGCCCACCACCAGTGGCTACACGGCCTCTAGCGATGGCGCCAATGGCTCGTTGGTGGTAAATTAGTGCGCAAATGGTATCGCCATGGCCAGCCACATCCGCTGAGCCACCCCACGCGGCCTGCAACCGTGCAGAAGGCCTCGGTCCCGATTCTCGCCTTGCCCACCAGCAGCCCACCACCAGTGGCTACACGGCCCCTAGCGATGGCGCCAATGGCTCGTTGGTGGTAAATTAGTGCGCAAATGGTATCGCCATGGCCAGCCACATCCGCTGAGCCACCCCACGCGGCCTGCAACCGTGCAGAAGGCCTCGGTCCCGATTCTCGCCTTGGCCACCAGCAGCCCACCACCAGTGGCTACACGGCCCCTAGCGATGGCGCCAATGGCTCGTTGGTGGTAAATTAGAGCGCAAATGGTATCGCCATGGCCAGCCACATCCGCTGAGCCACCCCACGCAGCCTGCAACCGTGCAGAAGGCCTCGGTCCCGATTCTCGCCTTGGCCACCAGCAGCCCACCACCAGTGGCTACACGGCCTCTAGCGATGGCGCCAATGGCTCGTTGGTGGTAAATTAGAGCGCAAATGGTATCGCCATGGCCAGCCACATCCGCTGAGCCACCCCACGCAGCCTGCAACCGTGCAGAAGGCCTCGGTCCCGATTCTCGCCTTGGCCACCAGCAGCCCACCACCAGTGGCTACACGGCCTCTAGCGATGGCGCCAATGGCTCGTTGGTGGTAAATTAGAGCGCAAATGGTATCGCCATGGCCAGCCACATCCGCTGAGCCACCCCACGCAGCCTGCAACCGTGCAGAAGGCCTCGGTCCCGATTCTCGCCTTGCCCACCAGCAGCCCACCACCAGTGGCTACACGGCCTCTAGCGATGGCGCCAATGGCTCGTTGGTGGTAAATTAGAGCGCAAATGGTATCGCCATGGCCAGCCACATCCGCTGAGCCACCCCACGCAGCCTGCAACCGTGCAGAAGGCCTCGGTCCCGATTCTCGCCTTGCCCACCAGCAGCCCACCACCAGTGGCTACACGGCCTCTAGCGATGGCGCCAATGGCTCGTTGGTGGTAAATTAGAGCGCAAATGGTATCGCCATGGCCAGCCACATCCGCTGAGCCACCCCACGCGGCCTGCAACCGTGCAGAAGGCCTCGGTCCCGATTCTCGCCTTGCCCACCAGCAGCCCACCACCAGTGGCTACACGGCCCCTAGTGATGGCGCCATTGGCTCGTTGGTGGTAAATTAGAGCGCAAATGGTATCGCCATGGCCAGCCACATCCGCTGAGCCACCCCACGCGGCCTGCAACCGTGCAGAAGGCCTCGGTCCCGATTCTCGCCTTGCCCACCAGCAGCCCACCACCAGTGGCTACACGGCCTCTAGCGATGGCGCCAATGGCTCGTTGGTGGTAAATTAGAGCGCAAATGGTATCGCCATGGCCAGCCACATCCGCTGAGCCACCCCACGCAGCCTGCAACCGTGCAGAAGGCCTCGGTCCCGATTCTCGCCTTGCCCACCAGCAGCCCACCACCAGTGGCTACACGGCCTCTAGCGATGGCGCCAATGGCTCGTTGGTGGTAAATTAGAGCGCAAATGGTATCGCCATGGCCAGCCACATCCGCTGAGCCACCCCACGCGGCCTGCAACCGTGCAGAAGGCCTCGGTCCCGATTCTCGCCTTGCCCACCAGCAGCCCACCACCAGTGGCTACACGGCCTCTAGCGATGGCGCCAATGGCTCGTTGGTGGTAAATTAGAGCGCAAATGGTATCGCCATGGCCAGCCACATCCGCTGAGCCACCCCACGCAGCCTGCAACCGTGCAGAAGGCCTCGGTCCCGATTCTCGCCTTGGCCACCAGCAGCCCACCACCAGTGGCTACACGGCCTCTAGCGATGGCGCCAATGGCTCGTTGTCGGTCAATTAGAGCGCAAATGGTATCGCCATGACCAGCCACATCCGCTGAGCCACCCCACGCAGCCTGCAACCGTGCAGAAGGCCTCGGTCCCGATTCTCGCCTTGGCCACCAGCAGCCCACCACCAGTGGCTACACGGCCTCTAGCGATGGCGCCAATGGCTCGTTGGTGGTCAATTAGAGCGCAAATGGTATCGCCATGGCCAGCCACATCCGCTGAGCCACCCCACGCAGCCTGCAACCGTGCAGAAGGCCTCGGTCCCGATTCTCGCCTTGCCCACCAGCAGCCCACCACCAGTGGCTACACGGCCTCTAGCGATGGCGCCAATGGCTCGTTGGTGGTAAATTAGAGCGCAAATGGTATCGCCATGGCCAGCCACATCCGCTGAGCCACCCCACGCAGCCTGCAACCGTGCAGAAGGCCTCGGTCCCGATTCTCGCCTTGCCCACCAGCAGCCCACCACCAGTGGCTACACGGCCTCTAGCGATGGCGCCAATGGCTCGTTGGTGGTATATTAGCGCGCAAATGGTATCGCCATGGCCAGCCACATCCGCAGAGCCACCCCACGCAGCCTGCAACCGTGCAGAAGGCCTCGGTCCCGATTCTCGCCTTGGCCACCAGCAGCCCACCACCAGTGGCTACACGGCCTCTAGCGATGGCGCCAATGGCTCGTTGGTGGTATATTAGCGCGCAAATGGTATCGCCATGGCCAGCCACATCCGCTGAGCCACCCCACGCAGCCTGCAACCGTGCAGAAGGCCTCGGTCCCGATTCTCGCCTTGGCCACCAGCAGCCCACCACCAGTGGCTACACGGCCTCTAGCGATGGCGCCAATGGCTCGTTGTCGGTCAATTAGAGCGCAAATGGTATCGCCATGCCCAGCCACGTCCGCTGAGCCACCCCACGCAGCCTGCAACCGTGCAGAAGGCCTCGGTCCCGATTCTCGCCTTGCCCACCAGCAGCCCACCACCAGTGGCTACACGGCCCCTAGCGATGGCGTCAATGGCTCGTTGGTGGTATATTAGAGCGCAAATGGTATGGGGATCCT